CCCCCAGGTCGAGAGGCGCAGTGCCACAGCTAACAAATAGGGTTTGAGCTTGAAAGGCTGGGTAGAACAGGGCCGCAGACATCTAACAGGGTTGAGCAGTGGCTGATCCTCCCCGTAAAGGGAAGCAATCAATGCCACAGCGTGTCCTCCATTCATAATGGCAGGAAGCGTAGTGGGAGTCAGTGTTTGCAAGGGATGCTGGACCTGTTTTCAATCTTTAAAATAAAAAGCTCCCCCCACCCCCCCCCAAAAAAAAAAACTTGCTGGCTCTCTCCGCTTCCCCTGTCTCTTATACACATCTAGATGTGTATAAGAGACAGGGCCAGGAGTACTTACCTGAGGCGCCATAGCTCCAGCTTCGTCTTCCAGGTACCTGCAGCAGGGCGCTGACTTCACAAGTTAGTACCGGACCGAGAGAGAGATAGTTCTTCTTCTTCCTCTTCTAAGTCCACCATCTCTCCCTCACCCCTGTCTCTTATACACATCTAGATGTGTATAACAGAGAAGTACTTACCTGAGGCGCCATAGCTCCAGCTTCGTCTTCCAGGTACCTGCAGCAGGGCGCTGATCTCACAGGGTAACTTACCTGTGGCGCCATAGCTCCAGCTCCATCTTCGGGGTACCTGCAGCAAGGCCCCAGCTCCACAGGTTAGTATTGGACTGAGAGAGAGTGAGAGAGAGTTCTTCTTCTTCCTCTTCTAAGTCCCCCACCTCGTCTCTACCCTCTCGCTACCTACCTTCTCGGTATCTGCAGACTACGAGAGAGAGATTGTGACTACGAGACTTGACGACATTGGATTCAGACTCGACGTTGGGTTCAGACATTCGACGAGGGTTTATTTGGGACTTGTATCAAAGACTTGGTGTTGACTACATTTCCATCTCCCCTCTTCTTCTTCGTCTGTTCCTCCCCCTCTTCGTCTGTGTATGGTTGGGAGTCTTGGGACCTGGCGCACATTCTGTGTATGGCGCCAGGCCTGTCACACCTTGCAAAGATGATGTTGAACGTTGAATCTGTACTTCGACATTGATTGGTTGAGCATTGGTATTCTAGCATTCCGCTGCGCTATCTGTGTGAGGAAGGTCGGTCCTTGTTCTGTTCTACGCTCTTACAGTCCAACAGTTTGGTGTCCCTCCTCTTCTTACATGCATGCTGTACCATGAAATGTCATGTCAG